ACATGTATTCAACCCCACTTATGCCTTCTACTACCCCATTGGAAGCCTCGGGACGCTACAATCACCACTAAATAGCGGTTCTTACGGTCGTTGGAAGTGAGCTCATAATAGCCATACCTACTCCCTCCACCGGAAAGCTCCTGAGCATAGGCTAAATGAGGCTACTGCGGTGCGGTGTGTGATCCTGAAGCTAATGTATGTGATGCATGTGCGGCAGAATTCAGACACCCGATGTCAGCGAGGGCCACCAATACCTCTCTTTTGTGACATCAAACATCTTTCTTCAACATGGCCAACAGAGCTGTCTGCATCAAGGAATCGGGTACTACCCGATGTTTAAGACATGACGCATTGTCTTTTTGGGGAGCCATATTTTTCGGCTCTTTTGCTCGCGAAGCTCATCACCTCAACTGTAAGCCTGGCCGAAGATATACTAAGTCTCTCATATACTGGAGCTGTATCGTAGTCGGAGTTCTGCGTGTTTTTTATAGTGTTTGCTAGTAGGCTAGCTCAATGACAGCGCACCACCTGTGCCATTATCCGTGGACGAGAAGGAGGTCTTTGCGAAAGGGCATCGGCATTGCTATGAGAGCTTCCTTTCCTATACTGCATGATAAAATAGTATTGCTGGAGTTATTCATTCCACCTCTATAACAGAGCGGTCGATCGTCTTCTACTATGTTAGTACTTGATTATTTATGCTTGACAGTACAATGGGTTCTCATGTTTCTTTGCGCCCGGCAAAAGGTGCCGGGATTTCCCTACTTCGTGCATTGATAAGTGTTATGAAGTACTGCTATAGTTGGTCTTAATACGAAAGAATCAATTTATGGCCTCCAACATTTCTGACTCTTCCAAAAACCAGACGAGAGAAATGAGAAATTCGCGAAGGATCACCAGCTTTTAGATTAATGGTCTTTCAAGCGCTGCTGTCTTCACCAAGTAGCCACATGCGTGGCTATCCCTCCGTTCTGGACGGACATCTAAATCTGGCGAGGACATGCCAGTTGTCAAGCGCCAGAGACTGCAGCCCCAAATAGTGTTTCGTACTAGCTCGTTACCTAGACCCTCTTCAAAGGACTAAACTCCTCCGGATAACGGAGCTTGCATCCGAATAGTCTCAAAACCAAGCAAGTCTTATTATTCGTTCTTGTATTCATGAGGGTAAAGGACAAGATTGGTTATTACTGTAGTTCTCTTATGGGCCCCATATACCTGTTTACCTGCATTTATTCCCCTCGCTACTGGTATTCTATTTGAGATGCTAAATGAACCCTCTTCAAGCACTCCGCTTGTATAAGACTGAAGTGGGAGATCTGGCGAGCTTAGTGGGAGCCATTACAGGTGGGACCCTAATATTTAGGTGAAACGCATCTAATAAATTGGAACCTTAATATAAATTTATAATTGCTTTGCTGAATAATATGAAATTTCGAGCCTTCCCATTTGGTAATGGAACTCTTGGTACCAGGCTAAATGTTTGGTTTTTTTTCCGGATAAAAAGGGGTAGAAGTTGGCATTTGGCAGAGTGGAGGACCACATCACCTTACAAAAGCACGATGGTCGCAAAAGTTGGGGTTAATTATGGAGGTAGTCGAATAAATAAAGCATTACTGTAATGTCCCGAGACTTCTCACAAGATAGAAGACACTAAATAGAGTGGAACGCTTGTATTCACGAAAAGATAAAAAGGTTGAGCTTTGGCTTAGCTCGAAGGCTAGTCCACTCAGCCTTAAACAAAATACGTGCCAGCTTAACCATTGGCCATGCAGGTATTCAAACTATCAAGACATTACATTTGAGCGTCGTCCTCTGCTCTTTCTTAGGTGCGGCTCACTCGCCAACCACCACAACGTATTTGGCGTTGCAAGGAAACACCAAACGGCCAGCCTAGTCAGTAACTAGCTTCAATGGGACTAAGGTAATACATTTAGCCTTCTCCGCAGTTCCAAGGTTACCTATAGTTACATTTAGTCTAAAAAAAAGGGAAATTAGGAATGGGTTCTTCTGCTGACCAACAATTATGTCAAGGGCCAGACATTGGATAACTGGTCTAAGACCTGTATAACAGAGAAAAAGTGATCAAACGCAGTTCCATATGGAAATAAGTTTTTAGCATAGTGTTGTCAGGTATCGCTATGCGAAATTTGTTAGGGTACATTTTCAAAACAAAACGCTTTTTGTTGCTTTTCGGAGATTATTCTTCAATCGTTGGTAGCTTGAATGAGTGAAGAAGGCGTTAAGTTGGGATGACTACATATATTCTGGGGTGACACAAAAAGGAATCGGACCGTTACTTGGTCAGAGGGCTAGCCTACGGGTGCAAGGGTCGGACGAATGTCAAACGAATCGTCAGGTGTCAGGTGATCACATAAAGTATTATATGGGACTTTACAGAATTCGCTGCCGTTTTGTGCTAAGTAGACAGCGTCAGCCCATGTGTTTTTAGGGGTGTAAGTTATAATATATGCTAGAGTGTTTAAGTTGACCTTTTTAGAGGATTGGTGGGAAGCAAATTCAAACTCGAATTCGGTGCATGAAGATCATGAGAAATCCCTCTCCCTCTGCTATTCGGCTCATCTGTGCTCCTATCCCCGTTCATCCGGTATTCAATGCCTAATAAATCTACTGCAGCTAACCCTCTCTTGAAGTACGTGGTACAAGGACATGAGGGTAGACAGGCTGTTGCTACATAAGTCTTCATTAAAGATGTCCGCAGACCACCTTAAATACAAACCCAAACATTCGATACAACAAGGATAACAAGTCTGGTAGGATGACTTCTAATACAGATCTCAAAACAAGACAAAATGGCAAGCTGATAAATTTTCAACTTCCTTTACCACGAGCCAAATTCGCAATCCATTTCCCATAACCCCACGTGATATTATTTGCGATAAACGCAGCGTCCACGTAACCTTTTTTTCTGGTATATCCGAGAAAGACAGGAGCCTTAGAAGGCGGTAAACTGCATTTCTGCATATTTTGAAGCCCATCAAAATTTTTTGGAGTAGATCAAAGACCACCTTTAGATCCTTTGATTTCGGTTAATGTTAGGATCCAATAATATGCAGGGCCATTGCTGTAATTCTTTGTTTATGTGACATCCTGAAGTTCGGCGGTCACTTCAGGAATTGTCTGGCCCTTGTACTCGTGGGCTGGTCTTCGGGCCATGCTCAGGCCCAGTTGCTTTGTCCTCTTTGGAATACATGTATCCAGCGTTGCTTACTGCTTTCTTCCACCCTGTGGGAAGTCTCAAGAAACTACAATTACCAATAGGTGAAATTACTGAAATGACAAATGGCTAAGACACTTAGTATCCCGAGTGCATCACCAAATGGGGGCTTGTAAAGTGTGCCGTAAATACGCCTGTCAAAGCTTTTTGATAGTAACTAATAAGCTTTTGTCAGGCTACAATCTTCATATAAAGCAAACAAAATTCGCCTAAATAAGTAAGGAATTCTTTGAATTGTTTTAAAAGTTCCTCCCCAGTATTTCGAGTCTGATGCTACCATTTATTTTAGTGCAAAAAGTGCATGTCATTATGTGAACTTTTATCATTTAAATTATTGTTTTTGTGTAGAAGTTTGTTTGAGTGTACCACATTAGGAGTCCCCATTTTTCGTCTATTGGATCTGCTGGACTGCGGCTTGTGTCACTTTGTCTGTGTTTGTCCCCAGGATAATGCTGCCTAGAAGTCGGCTTGATGATGAAGAATCTGACACAAACCCAAACAATTTTACAGGTATTTGGAGGCTCGTAAGGGCGCAACTCTATATCTGTTATTACTTATTTTTTATATGGTAATTGGGAAGGTGATATTTTGAAATTCATGAAGGTTCTTGTTTGTTGGCTTTATATACTCAGCGTCCGTTGTTCAGTTTTTTTTCTATGTCTTCGTGGTCTGATGTAAGGGGACGATTCTTGTTTTCTCCATGATTTCATTATGTATATTATTGTCCCTCTTGTTATTTTTTAGATGCTGTTATTCGGGTGGGTTCTGAATATCAGGCTACTATACCGCATTTCGGCGCTGGGACTCCAAACAGCTCTTCGTTCGGTCGAACGCTTGAGGTTCTGTACTGGAAACCACTTCCCACTTTGAAAAATAGACAAGTGGATGATTATATTAACTATGCTACTGAAAAATATGGGTCAGTATACTTATGTCGATCCTTTTTTAGCGATACCGTAACTAATTTGTGTACCTAGATGCTTCGTTTTCTGCAGATATTCTGAGGAGCAGGCTCTAGCTTTGTTAACATGGAAAAAATTTGATTTTGCTTTGGCAATCGAGGATTTGGGGAACTTTAGTCCCATTCGTTACGATTGGACCCACAATGAGCGGCGAATTTTCTTTGCTGCTATGGATTTCCACTGCAAGAATTTCTTTAAAGTTAAAGAACTTTTTCCTAATCGTCGTACTACGGAGTTGGTTCTCTTCTACTACCTAAATAAGCGTAACCAACAGACTCTTTACGAGTTAACTCTGCATGCACCACAATGGGCTGGATTACATGCCAATGGATTCATTAATAGTTCTGCCCGTTTGCAAGACATTGAGGACATAATCACTCTGTCTTCCCTCACTCATCCAAAGGAAAAGGTAGTAAGTTGATCTTGCGGTCTGTGTAACTACTTTTTGTGATGAACCCAAACTTGAAGTCTTTCATCTGTGTTTACAGCCTCAAAGCGGTCTCTTCAATGCTGATGATCCTCTTGAAAATGCTATCGCGCGTTATATAGATAGCTTGAGTGGTAACATTGAGTCGGGATCAGGTTCAGCAAGGGCATCTCGCATCTTTCCGAGTGCTCCTAGTAAACATATCAAAACCAACAAGAATACATCTACAACGCGTCTTCGAAAGCGTAAACGGCCGGTGAATGAAGCTGGAGTTGTTGGAGACGGGGATGAGACCTTCTATTCTTCTTCCTCCTCGGACAATGATATAGTACGGATTGACTACTTAGGAAAATTGGTGAATAAAAACGGTATTCCTACTGGTGCTTCGGTTCGGACCTGCACTTCAAAAGTGCAGGCGCGAATCGAGGCGGAGCTGATGGCAATGAGTAAAGCAGTAGCAAAAAGTCTACAGTCCTCTGGTTCTGAGCGAGCTTCGCCCATACTGGATGACGATAACAAAGTGGTGCGTGGTTTTAATCCGCGGGTCGGACTTGTAGAAACGCGAGAATCGGCCAGGTACGCTCCGAGTTAGGTTCGGCGCGGTCTTGGTCGTTGTCTATGAGACTATCTATTTTCGTTTCCAAACAGGGGTCGAAATGGGAAGGGGAGTAGGAGAATTAAGTTGCTTCCCTACTCAGAACCATATTTTACCAGCAATGGTGGGATGAAGAAGTGTGGTACGCAGAAGAAGCGTGTCTCCGTTAATGTTCTCACCGCCTCCGACGACGTTCCTACCTTCTCGTCGTCGCATTCTTTCGTTCCACAGGTGAATATCGTCGTAGAACAGCGGCCGGCACAGCCGTCATCACAAGAAGCGTCGGTGGCAATGACAATGGGGACAGAAAACTCCAATCAGGTGGAGTCATCTCCGAGACCTACCACTCCCGTATCTACCTCCTCACCGAACTCAGTTCCAATTACGGCGAACTCGGACAACGAACTAGAGGTTGAGCTAGATTGTTCAGAAGCCCAAGGAGAAGTGCCATCTGAATCGGTTAGTCCACAGGCTTGCAGCAGCTTTGAACAGTTGATTTAAAGGTAGTTATTACGTGGGTTTGCATAAATTTCAAGCATGGGTTATGCAGCGCATTACCACTTTCTTTTTTTAGTTTTTGAAGGAATTGGAGGCGGAGGTTACGTCAAACATCGAAGACATGCGTCCACCTCAGATTCCTATTGTGAGTGTGTTTTGATATCTATGCTTTTACGTCTTCAAATCTGTTTGCACTGATCTTAAGCCAAAGTATTGTTTAAGATTTTGGGCGGTAAGAATATTAGGTGAGTTGATTGTGCCTCGCTTCTCCTTGCAGCCCCATTAACCCTCGGTTGCCTGTGCTTTTGGCGCTCTCGTCACTTTTGTAGGTTTATAAATGGTCTTGAGGTGTAGTAATTGACCTTCAAACCAGCATTTAACTATTCAAAGTCTAAATGTCGCTAAGACTTCATCTACTTTTGAGCGTTCGGTGGATCATGACCTTCCCATTAAGATATGTTTTATGGCCGCTTCAAATAAGGATCCTGAATGGACCCGGGCAGAATTGGCTCTGGCAGTGGAAATCATATCGGAGGTGGGAGAGGACTATGAACGCATTGCTGAGCGCATGGTCAACAAAACACCCAGCATGGTTGCATACCTGTTTAAAACACAGGGCAGGCAGCTGCATCTTTATGAGGTAGCAGCGATGGCTGAAGTGAATAATACGGTAGAGCAGTGTCTTTCTCCTCGATCTCAATAGCAGTTGTTTCATTTCGACTTCTGCTCACCGTCCTCTCTTCCTTAGTCATCTGAAATTGCATTTCTTTCCTGATTCTTGTATATATTTCTATTTTTTGTATGAGATTTGCTTTCTATTCGACCGTTCTATGGAGTCGACCGAGGTGGGGCAGGATGCCTTACGTGCAGAAAGTCAATGTAATCATGGCAGTAACTGCGACAGGAAATGCCGACATTGATATGTAGAATTCTATCAGTGAGATTGCTGGAAGAATTTGAGAGATTGGGGTGCTAATTACCATTCAATTTAGACGGGATGCTGAACTTTTTGTTTTCGTTCACACAGATAAAGGATTGGCCAACCCACGCAGCTCATAACTTTATGGCTGTAATACTTTTTGTTTTTTCATTGATGCAAAACTCAGGTAGCGTCTTCCTTTCGTCGGGTGAAATCGAGTCCACCGCATGGCATTAGCATCGATCACTTTCTATTCGTTGCATGTTCCTTCGGAGCATTGCTTATCTTCAAGGGAGTCGTAATGTTGCGATGACTAGAGGAAGACGCTTAGGCATGTAGGTTCTACTATTCGAGACTGCTCATTTGGAATGAGAAGAAATAAAAACTTGCTGTCATGTCGGAGAATAGCCATGCAAACATGAACGAAATGGCTGCCAAATGTGAGTGCAAATTATACGGATAGGCGAACAAGTGAAGCTTTATTTAG